AATTTGACGCTAGAGGAAATAAGCCATAGAGCAAGAGAAAAATATCTCGCGGAAATAGAAAATAACCCTGGTCATTCCCCTGATTTACGCCTAAAGAGAAAGCCGATATTACAGCACCTGTGTAAACGTAAGGAGTAGGTTTGTAGCTGGCAAGGGATGGGGATGGGACCCTGGCTGACAGCTTTCGGATCTGAACACAGCTGCAGGATGGGGATGGCCCTGGTCGAAGGGATTGGGAAGGGACCCTGGCTGGCAGGATGAGGATTGGGGGAACACAGCTGCAGGATGGGATTGGAAACCCTGGCCATAGGATTGGGGATGGGACCCAGGCTGGCAGGATGGGAAACCTGTCTCAAAGGATGGGATTAGCACCGGGCCCCTAAGATGGGAGATGGGAGTCGGTCACCCCAGCCAGGATGGGGGGATGGCTGACCACTACCACACCCCGGGATTGGGGGATTAGACCGTTTTTGCAACCCTCTGCCTCAAGGCCTGAATCCTGCTCGTTTTTGCATGTATAAACGACCGATGGCCATCCGTCCACAGCACGAAGGACTAATCTGATCAAGGGCGCACTTCATCCCTCCGCGCAGGCTTGGATGTGATTTCAGGGAGGAGCACACTGAGATTTTGCAGTTGCCCCGAAACCACAACGCCTTTTTGTTGACGCCCTCTTTGCGACTTCATTGCAGGTCATCACCCATCGTTCACCAGAGTTTACATGGTATCTATTTATTTAAAAATCAAAGGCCAGGGTTTTCGCTTTGAATTTTACTCTTCCACAGTGGCAGCTGGGCCCAGTTGGGCCAACTGACTAACCTCAACCTGAAACTCTCCGCCAACGCGAACGATGCATAGCGAATCATGATGTAATTGCCACAGGCCCACACGATACAATTCTTCAGGTAGAAGACCTTCCAAGCCTCAAAGAAGAGGGACTTTGACGCTTGAATAGAGCATTTCTTCGCTTTGTAGAAGATACTGCGGTCTTGCACCTTTAAATATATTGCTTTAATATACTATAATTTCTTTGACCTTGTGGACAGGAGTTTCCAATCTAGTCCCGCTTCGGCGGCAAGGCGCGCAACCATGGCGCTCCCAAAGCAGGCGATGGCTCAAGCGGATGCTAAAGGTGAGGAGCAAGATATAACTGGCCAGGGCGGCTCTGCCGGTGTCGGAGTAATTCTCACCTCCGATTTGCCCGGCGCGCCCCAGTCTTCGAGCATGCGGCAGTCATTAGCAACTCGGAAGTAGCGACAATCCTCAGTGAATACATGCGCCAGCGGAGAGAGGAGAAGCCCTCTTTCCAGCCTCAGCCCCTGGTGCAGAAGACGCTGGAATACGTCCAGAAATTCAACTGCGGGACTAACCCTGAGGCCGTGCAGGCCATGAGAAAGTAGGTCTAGGGTTGCGGCGCTTCGGATTAGTGTACTTCTAGCATATTCTACAGCTGCGCAAGTAGGTGGCGGTCCTGCAAATCCACCACGGCTGATGGGCCCTCTGGACCCCTACGCCACCCTTACACTGTGTGGATGGCAGTTTTGACTCCTCCCTTCTATACCCTATGATTTCTCCATCTTTTATGTTCGTGATGAAGACCACAATAGGTGCATGCAATCCCACGAAACAGGCGTTTTACGGGACAGCAGGCAGAGGAAGGAGATTAGATTTCCAAAATGCATCTGTGCCTGCATCTGTAACCTTAGCTTCACGGCCTCCTCCCACACCCTCCGTGATGTTCGAGTCCCGTAGAATCTCCCCCGTACCTTTCCGCAACCTCGAGGGATCTCCGTCTCTCACTGATGACTCCTGCGTGCTACTCGAACTTCCTCCTCGCCTGCCTCCCTTCCCTTACCTCCCGTCATACCTCCCATCCCCAACCTCCCCTTCCCCGACCCTCTCCTCCCCCCCTCATCTTACCCATCCCTAAGCTACATGGAGAACTTCGGTTTGAAGCCCTTCGAGTGGGGCCTTATCGCCAACCTGATGCCGGAAGACACGGACGAGGCCAACAAGCTCATACCCAGCCTGGTGGTGAGTAGTAGCAGCAGCAGCGAATAGGGCACCAGCGCATGCAGCTGCGCACTCGTTCGAGCGACTTTGGACAACGCATGAGTTTCGCCGGGATGGGGTTCCGGGACGGGGTAGGGTGGGGTAGAGTAGGGTGGGGTGGGTTCGAGGTGCTCGGGTTCTGGGGGCCTCTCTTCGCTGCTAGCTAGCTCCATCAACTTCCTTCCTCCCCGCACCCGTACTGTAGTAGCTGGCCGCTGAAAAGGCCTCTCGAGATTCTGGTGGTCGCGCTTCGCGCGTATTTGTAGAGCCGTACTGTGTACCAGCTACTACACGTACTGAGATCCAGCTCGCCGGTGCGCACTGCGGGTGATTGCGAAGCACATCGCTGCTCTCGGACTCGCGCAGTTGGTAGTCGGTGCATTTCCTCCCTCGCGCCCTCGCGCTGAGTTCCCAACCCCTTGCCCCGATCCCGGTCCCGGTCTCGATCCCGCCTCAGGACAACCCGGATGACCCGCCCGAGGAGCACCGGGGCTTCCTGCCCGAGGAACTGGACCGCATGCTGGCGGAGCTGCAGAACCTACGACACGCATGAAGAAGTGGGGGAACAGGGAAGGGGCACTGGGAGGAATGGGGTGGGGATAATAATGTTAATGATATTTATGATAATATGATGATGCTGATGCAAGAAGTAAGAATCAACTTCTGACGCGGAATGTGTAGTGAAGGTAAAGGGACCGAAGCGGGAAGCGGAAAGGGATGGGGAGAAGGGACCGTGTTTAACGGCGGCGGTGGGATGTTGCTACGTGTGCAAGATGGAGGGGGGAGGATGGAGAACGGGCGCGAAGGCTTCAGGTTTGCAGTTGGCTGCATGCGCCGTTGGGGGAATGGGGCAGGAGCAGCCGCAGCAGCAACAGCGTAGTCGGGGGCCAGTGGGCGGGTGGAGGTTTTTTTACATGCACGGCTGCCTGTCTGTTTGTCTGCACATCCGTCGTGGACGACCCATTTGTGAAGTTTTTTTCATGATGCCAAGTAGGCTTTGCGAGTATTGATTTCAATGTATGGTGTAAGTGACATTGTGGGTGGCTCTGCCACAGCCTGTGTGACCCAGTAGACACCGGGGATGGCACAGCAGGAGAGGGGACAGCAGCCGCATGATTCGGTGTTATCTCTACGTGAACGCAGCTGTAAGGGCCTTAACAAAGCACTTTTTGGGGGGCACAACCGCAACGTGGACACACCGGTAGCTGCTGCTGCCGGTGAACATTATTAACAAAAATGGGAAGTCCGGTTGATCAACCGTTTCATTAACCGTTTGCGTGGAGAGAAGGTCGGCCTTATCGGTTATCGGGCCCAACGAAAGCTGCGACTACGGTATTGCATGTCCACGTGATGCATCAACCTGCCTGCCTGGCCCCTCCGCTTCCACTGGGCCTGACTTCTTTGCTATTTTTGGATCAGCTTCAGCATGGCTTGCAGTTTGTGTTTCATGAATGTTCTGCGTAAGGAGTTCGCCATCCGGTGCGACCTGACCTTAACTGCCACTTTCTACTGTAGCCGAGTAATAAGGCAAACATGCTTAACTCTTTAAACAAAGCGTTCGCCGTCAAACCCAAAGGCATACGGCCGTAAACTGCGGCGCATTTCGCGTGCTGTCAGGATTTCCAACCCCCTGCAGGTTAAGAGCTAACTTTTTCATTCATACTTTCTTTTCTTTTTCTGCTTCCATGGACCGAGCTTAAGGTCACACAACGTTTCTCACGCTATATTTCGGTCGATACGATGCCGTGTTTCTTATCAAAGGATATGCAGTTAACTGCAACGTTGTCAACGTTGACAACGTCATGCGAATCGGACAGGCGCATTAAACCATTTCTCCGCGACCATCTGCGGCGGCTTGACGTGATTTTTTTTCTGCACAAAACTATGCAAAGTTTAGGACCTTCGAGGGGCCGACTGGCTTTCCTGGGGCTTGCATATAGGTTTTGCTGCAGCAGGCACAGCCAGGGCCATCCCTCCGGAAAACGACGATCTGCAAGTTTTCTCGCACGGTTGGCGTTGGACAGGACTTATGGAAGACCTGCCGCGACCATGCGAAATCGGTTTTGCAACCCCCTTGAACCCGGCAGCGCGGTTTTGCTATTTACATGTATAGAGTCATCTGCACACTGCTGCTGTGGACCGCATCGCAGCGACAAGATGGCAAAACAATATGACTTTTACGCTTACGCGTCGTTGCAGCTCCTTGTACCCTTTGTTGCTCGCTACCCGCAACCCGCGCGCGGAGCCCCAAAATATCCTTTCCTGCTGCAACTCAAAACCAACTCAACTCGCGTATCTCGCGTATCTAGCTCATATCGGTCGTGTTTTTCGGTGTCATACATGAACAAACAATCTAAAACAACTTCACTATTCATTCTATCCTTATCTAAATATCCTATAACTATAATCAACACCAAGTACATTCGCTTTTTTTAACTCCTAGCCTGCTTAATGCAAAACCTAACCCCATTCAAACCTGGAAAGCGCTGTCAACACCATAACCCTTCAGGCCTTCTCGCAACGATCCACGCACGTTCACGTTTGGAGATCATCCACAGCCTTCCTTTCCAAAATATATTATATACATAATAAATATCCCTAACCTTTCTCTAGTCTGAAACTTTTTAATGAGGAAAAAGGAAAGGGCTTCTCCTCCAAAGTGAAAATATTTCCCCCAAAGAATCTTCTCTTTCTCTTTCTTTACCACTTTTGACGACCAAATCTTTTCCCAGCAGCAACCGATCGACGCGCATCATCCCTCCCCACTGCTGCAAACAGCCCCCCTGAACCTCATCTGCCCCCGTGAGCCCCTCCCATGCCCCCGATTACCTCCGCGGCCCCCAGTCGGGCTCCTCCCTGAACCTGCCGTCGTGTCATTCCCCCTCCCCCCCTCCTCTCCCTCCTCGCTTCCATCAGCACCTCAAGAGTGGCCTACGACGACCTAGCTCCCCGTCCGTCCGCCCGTCCGCTCCAAGAGGAGTGCAAACGCGATCATCTGTCCGATTTTGAATTTCGTTTTGAAGCTCGCACCTCGCCACCACCGCGTTCCTGTTCCAAAACTGCCAACTCCAAAATTACCAAAAGCGCCCTTGATGGAATTCGAGCCGGGGGCCTTTGCACGACAATAGATCTCGCAACATACGCTTCATCGCCCCGTCACCCTCCGCCCCGCCAACCGGCCAAATAAAAACAAGAATTAACTTCCTTGATAGAGCGAAATATATTATTTGGCTACCCCCACGTTCATCATATTGACCCTGGAGGCATTATTTTTGGCCGGCATCAATTTTTGGCGGCAAAATTCCGCCTCCGATAACGATGATGAAAACCAACGCACAGCTCCTATGACGGCCCCTACGGAATCTGATCCCTCACTCCTTTCTTCCCCTCTCGCTCCCCAGCCCCACCCCGAGCCACCCCAGCCCTCGTCTGACCTCTTAAACACGACTCAAACAAGACCTCTCCTTATCGCGGAAGAGTGAATGGATGACGTCACAGCTCCTTGTCGTACAAAAACGCCTTCAGGAGGTGTAACGCCTGCAGGGGCTTGCTCTGCGGCACCATGTGACCGGCGCCCTTGACGGTGGCGAACCGGAGACCGGAACCGGCTCCGAAACGAGCTGTGAAGCCGGCGATCTGCGGGGAAAGAACGTTTGACGACATTGAGGACGTTGGGGGAGGGGGGAAAGACGAACAACGTGAACGAGTGAAAAGCTGCTGCCAAGGAGAGAGTGTACAAGAAGCAGAACTGACCAGTACGCAGTTTTGAAGCAGGCGACCTCGGGATGATGTAATGATGACGACCGCAGGGGGTTGGTAGCAAGGGTGACGGGGCGGGCTACCTCCCCACACCTTCCGCCGCCGCCGAAGGGAAATTCAAACGCTCCCACTCGTCTAGATACACCTCACCACACTACACCCGAATCTATCCTGTACGACCCAGATGCGCCTTTGACCTGACACGGCACTGCCATACCTGGCCGTGCAGCATCCAGGGGCGCAGTGGACCATCCGTACGACCCAGATTCGCCTTGTCGTACAGCCATGTCCGGGTACCGGTGTGCGGTACGACCATGTCGTGGTCGCCGCTGTACACCAGTGCACGGAGACCTGGAGGTGGGTGAAGGATGGTTACCCCCGGGAGGGGGGGGAGGGGGGGTTTGGCGACGCGAGGATGGTGGGTTCGCAGCAGGTTCGGAGCACCGCGTGCGGTAATCGAAGGGGGGTTTTACGGGTGCGTGTGCGTGTATGTGCGTTTCGGCAGCACGTCATGTCACATGGCCCGACGGGGCGGGGGTGGGCGGGAGCCCTAACCCAAACTATCCTGTGTTTTACCCCCCCGTCCTTCCCCCGACTCACCCTCCCGCACCAGCTCCTCATGTACGGAAACCAGGTCCATCGTATCCAATCTGTAGTACAATACGTCACTACACGGCTGCCAACCGCCGATAACCGACCAGGGAGCCGCGTGCAGCGCGGAGCGGACCTCGTCTCGATTCAACCAGTCCAGCGCAATGCTGTTGTTCGTTGGTTAGTTTTTGGTTCGTTTGGTTGGTTGCCCGTTAGAACAACGGATCGAAGGGAAAACAAACAAACATTGGGAACGTTGGTATGTGCCCAGCGTGGGCAGGTAGGTGGGCAGGTTGTTTGGTGAGCAGTAGCTGCGGCAAGTCGAGCCAGGGCGGCCGTGTCCCGGTGAGTTTACAATCACACACACATACACATACATACATACATGTGTGTGTGTTTCTATGGGGCTTTAGGCGCGCTCGTTGTCTGCATAGCAGACAGTCCGTCCGTCCGTCCATCCGTCGCCATTACAGCACCTTCGATTATCCCCACCGGCGCTTGACACATCATCACATCAACCCCCTAAACCCCCTACCCCCCAACACAAAAAATCAAACACGTACTTGATAAGTTCAAGCAGCTACGTCTACAACTTCATTGGAAAAGTCTGCTGTTCGTCTGATGTCGTACATGTCATCTTCCATGCAGACTTAACCCCTCCCAAACACACTCTCACCTGCGGTCCATGCACGGTACGACATGTCGTAGCCAGGGCCCCCACAGCCGTACACCCCCTCGACGACCCGGCTCCAACAGCTGCTGCTCCGCCCGGTCCTGCTGCTCCTGGTCTTCAACCCCGTTTTGGATCTGGATCCGACTCTCCGAGGGTGTCGTACGCATCCGGACAGTGAACGGCCAGTAGAAACGTCGCTCCAAGCTGGAAGCCGACCGACCGAACCTTGGGTCACCACCACCACCACTGGTGCTACTGCTGCCACTGCTGCTGCTCCCACTGCTGCTGCCACTGCTACTGCTACGGATGGCAGTATCAGCAGCGGTGTCCCCGTCATTGCCTAATTTAGCAAGCGCCTCCTCGTCGTCGCCACCATCATCCGGGGACTTGGCGCAGGAGTCCAGCACGTCGTACCAGTTCAGGTCCCACAAGTCATCCTTCACCACGCCCTGAGCGTCCCAGCACTCGGTGCCTGATCAGGATACACACGCACACACAGAAAGCAATAAACAGGTAAGCAATGTCGTACAATGCCACGTGGGCCTCGCCCTCGCAACGTCTTCGCAGTAGCAATCGCAGTAGCAATCGCAGTAGCAATAGTAGCAGCAGCAGTCGCCGTAGGCTTGTCCACAGACGCCTTTAAAAACCTACCAAACATATCATTAACATATCACAAACAGACGAAAGGGACAAACAAAAGACAAAGCGCCTAGTCAGGTCCACGGCACACACATATACACCCCACAACTCACATGCAATACATACCTTACCTACAGAACTACAGACTTACAGACCCATATAACCACAAACAAAAGCTCCTCCCTCTTCCGCTCTCATCCCAGGGTTGCTTCTGCGGCAACCCCCCCCACACACATTTCCCTTTCCACCCGCCTCTCCCGAAACCCATTCAGACACTCCCCCCGGCCACCCTCACCCCACAACAACAACAACAACAACAACGCCCCCCTCCCTGCCTCCAACCATCTACCCCCCAACCCCCCACGGGGGGCCACCACCTCGAGTGGCGTTCCAGAACATGTCGCCGCACGCGGCCCTCATCCTCCTCCACGATGGTGGGTCCAAGTAGCCCATGTCGGCGGCGAAGAACAGCTGCGCATTGCCATCCACCACATCATCCGTCACCGGGTTACCCACCGAATAGCCCTAATTGGGTTTGGGGTTAAGGGGGAGGGAGGGAGGGAAAGACGAACCACAAACGAGTGAAGCTGCTGCCAGGGCAAGAGTGTACCAAACGTATAGAACTGACCGAAAGGCGTCCGTGAAGACCCCGACCTCGGGATGAGGGTGTGCGGGAGGGAGGGAGGGAGGGGGGAAAAGACGAACCACGAGTGAGTGGAGCTGCGGGGGGGAAGGGTGTGGGGGTGTGGGGGGCGCCACCCTTCACCCCTTCACCTGCAGGTCCACCAAGGGGGATCTGTCCTCCCGACGCCGCTCCCTGTTCACACGGACCAGCTCCCGGGCCAGCAGTGGCACGAACACCCCGCCGTAGCTCTCGCCTGCCCGGGGGTTAGGGAGTCCCATTTGGTATTAGCTACGTTCTTTTAGGGGGTTTAAGGGGGGGTTGGGTATTGAAAATTTGTGCACTTGCGCGGCAGAAGGGGAAAGACGAACCACGAACGAATGAAGCTGATGCCATGGATAGACAGATACGCCATGTAAGTACGGAAGGAATAACTAAAAGTGAAGGGGGGAGGAAGGGGAAAGGAGAACCCCAGACGAATGGTGCTGATACCGGGGATAGGGAGGGGGGTTTAGCCAGAGAGCCAGTCAGGAGGGCGGAGAACGTGTAGGGGCACGTAATGGAAAAAGTAGAAAAGTGGGAGTAAGAGTAAAAGTGCACCGTCAAGGAGCTGCAACCGCATGCGTATGTATGTATGTATGTATGTATGTATGTATGTATGTATGTATGTATGTATGTATGCATGTATGTATGTATGTATGTATGTATGTAGGGGTGTATGTATGTATGTATGTATGTCGGCATGTATGTGTTGCGTGTGTGCGGGGGTGTAGAGTTGCGCACACCGCCCGGGGGACCCTAGCACTTGCCTACCTGCCAAAAAGAAGGGCGCCGTAGCCAGCTCGGGGTATCGGTCCGTAAGGCCCTTGCCGTACAAATTTGCGTACGTGCGTGTGTGCAATTACGGCATTCGGATGGGAATCAGGGGGGGGGGGGGAAATGCGAGTGAGGGGTGGAAAAGGGGAGGGGGAAAAGAGGCGCGGGAAGGCAGGGGGAGCCTTTCACACAGCATATTTTACATGTTTAAACGTGCGCTTCGAAAAATTCAGCAGTGAGGCCATTAACAAATTACTTTCCTGCACGGAGACGATGAAGCCCTCACCTCACACACACACATACACACACACACTACCCCTCCCCGCACCGCACCAGGCTTGCCGCCTCCTATACACCCCCATCCCTCATCTCTTTTCCCCCCCTCCCCCCCAACACACTCACACTCAACACCCATAACCCACACACCAACCGGGGGAGGGTCGATCTGTCGTACCTGCAGGAATACGACAAGATCGGCAATGGTGTACTCGTCGTTGGTGTGGTAGTCCACGTCAGGACGGCCACTGTACGACATACCCGCTCCCGCGGGCGAGTCCACGTAAATGATGGTGGCCACCTGAGGAGAGAACAAACGTGTGTGTATGTGTCTGTGTGTTTGCCGTACATAATGCCGTACAACGTTTTTATTTTTATCTTTCACGACAGCTTCTCCCCGAATGCATTCCTGTAGCACCAGACCTAACACACCGTGGCATCAGCAAACACATGACACGCACCATCGGACATACAGACAGACAGACGCACATACGTATGTGATGTGTTTGTCCCTTCAAGCTCCCACGGTGCTCTCCCCTCCAGACGCATAAACCCCCCTGTCTCTCGACCCCACCCCACCCCACCCATACACCTATGGCACCAGCATCACTCGTCTGTGGCTCGAGACTTCCCCAGACAACACCCTACACAGCGATAAGCACGCAGCACACCTTGGTCCAGGAATACGGGTTGGGCTCCAGAACCACAGGCCGTCGTTCCTTCTTCTTCTTCTTCTCCTCCTCCTCCTGCCGCTGCTCCCCCGCACCACCCTCTACATGCTCCTGCTCTTTCCCCCCCTCAACATTTCCTCCTCCTCCATTTCCTTCTTCTCCTTTCGGTCTTGAAGAAGAAGAAGAAGAAAAAGACCACGACGACGACGACGACGATGAAGAAGAAGAGGTTCCGTAGCTGAATTTGAAAGGGCCGTGCTCGTAAATGAAGGCATCCAGCGAGCTGCATCCGGGGCCGCCGGTCAACCACAGAACCACCGGAGCCGGTGCCGCCGCCGCCGCAACCTCCCCCTCCGCGGCTACCTCAGTTGTCGTACCCGCCGTCATGGATGTCGTACTTGAATCCCGGCCGTGGTCTTCCCGGTCCGCCACCAGGTACCACAACCGGCGGTCGCTGATCTCATTCACCGTGATGTAGCTGTAAGCAGTGGCGGTTGTGGCGGTTAGGAGGGGTCACGGGAATAAAAAAATAGGCAGTATAAAAATGCGCAACGGAAGAAAGTACGGCAGAGTATGCACATTCGTGGCGCGGTCCGTAAGCACTGACGCATGTTCTTGTGGTTCGTTGATGAAAGGGTTTGGTTAAGATTTGGCCGAAATTTCGCCAAGTGTTTTAGACTTGGCGGTGCTTGGTGTCGTGCAGCCCACAGTCCCGTTCCTTCTGGGGTGGGCCCACCCCGTTGCCACCCACTTACCCCGACCGCATGCGGACGTGCGGGCTGCCGTTGAGACCTGGCAGGTTGCAGATCTGCAATTAGAACGCGGCAGCAAAAGCAACGTCAGGCGTCCAGTGACGTGGAGTTTGCCAGCAAGCCACCAACCGCCAGTATTCGCCCAAATGAATACCGAAGGGGGAGGTCGTGGAAAAGGAATGGATACCTAAAGAGCAGCAATCCAGGCTTTCCAGAGAGCTCGGGCGCGAAGCAAAAAGCGCGAAACCAAACACGCTATCCATGCTGCGTGCGATGACCGTTGCCCAGTTCCGACGCACCTCATCGGGTTGGTCGCCGCATAGCTTAACATACTTGCTCCCCTCTGCTGGTACACCGTCTTCTTGCTCGATGACTGCGCTGGAAGCGCGCCATTCCAGCCGCGGTCGGGCAGCACCTGCTCAAAGTGACCAGCCCAAGGAAACATACTGCCGACACTTAAAATAATAAATCATAAAATGAATAGCCGAGCCCGCAAATGTAATCACGGATGCTATCGGTGGAGGATGCCGCAACTGAAAAAATGCCTTCAACGGCAAGGCAAGTCCTGCGTAAGCGTCTGCGCTTGCAGGAAACAGGAAGCTTACCTGAAATGTTGATGATGAACAGCAACAATACCGCTATGAGATGCAGCGTATCGCACGCTTTAGTCGCCATGTCGGCTGAATTGCGCGGCGCACGCAAGCCAGCCACACCGCTGACGAGTCAGTAACTTAATGCATAATAGCTTCTCTGCGTAGGAGCATAACCCTGCATTTGCTCCAAAAACAAGATCGGTGATATGAGCGCGGACGACAGTCCGGCGGACTAAACATTACGTCAAAGGCATCGGCTCAAGGCCAACAGGCCAATCCTAGCAGCCCTTCTAAAACATCGCTGCTAGGCCATCACCTACGGAAAACAGCTGTAACGTATGCGCGCGTTGCAGCCTGCAAGGTAGCTATAACCCTATTCACTGTTACCTTGCACATCCTTTGCACGTACCTGTATGCAAGCAACCTTCGTCTTTACATACGTAAAGGAATGCTCATCTGCTCCTTGAGAACCAAAGAACTGATTAGGCATGGCCGGACGCGTCGTGCGTGGGACCCGTGGGTCCGCACGTTTCTGCTGTCGTCGTCTGACCACGTGACAGTGGCTTTGTGTGAAAATCACCATACAAGGACCCTCCAAGTGTGGTCATCACTGTGGTCATCGTCTTGAAGCTCCTCTGCCTGTCCTTTGCTGCAACAATCTTTTACGTGCGATTTGGGTCGCAAAAGGCCCCTTCTTACAACCTCCAACAACAGGTCCGAAGATGTTGAACCCCCCCTCCATGACCTACTGTCAACCTTCAGGCCTTCCCCGAACTGCGCCGGCACCGGGTTAATCAACAAACAGCGTGAGAATACGGGAAGTGACGTAACCGCCTGCACTCCGTGCCGTATATGAGGGTTTCAATCCACCGCGCCGTGCACGTGAATCTAAATCCTCCGAGATATGCATGTCATGACGAACATGGGTAACAAAGTAACAATGTTAAGAGACGGGGAAAGGGGAGGACAGCATTACAAGAAGCAACTCCTTATGGCTCTTGTGTGTTTTTCTTGGGGGGAGATTGGGACCTGATGGGGGCTTTGGAAACGTGACCGTCCGCCACCAAAGGCCCGTCCGCCGTCCTTCCCCCAAACCCTAAACCCGGCTTCGGGGGGTTTCGTGTTGTTGAATTGATTCCCAACGGCGTCCTCACTTCGCGCCTTCGTGGTCTATTGGTGCATTCCCAGCCCCTTCAAAAAAAGCCAGGGAATTCGGGTGACGATTTTCCTGGTGCAGCCACAGCAAGACTGGACAGCAATGTTGTGCAACAGCAAACATTGCAGCGACGGATTTACCAGCTTCGGGTGACAACGCTTCGAGCAAGTTTGCGGACCACGTGAAACTATGCTGCGCTTTAGGATGCATCCATGACCTGTCCAATACTCAGGTTCAGGGAAGTTGAAGCAGGAAGGTCCCGCATCCCGTTGTCTGTGCTCACCCCAGCTCCACAAGTTTGATGGGTTCCAACCTCTTGTTTCAAACACAACCCTTCCCACAATCTCCGCATTTCCCCAGGTATGTTTACCCTAAAGTGGACCCAGCAAAACGTTGGCTGATGCTTGGTGTATGCCTGCCAAAACCATGCAAATCCTTGGAAACCGCCGCACCCCAGAGGCCCAAATAGTAATTTCAAAAGTGAGATACAATTGTCAATTGCCTGGCATGTTTAGATCTTACCATACTGCCATCCTCTCCTCATCAAAATCAAGTCGATGCAGGTCCAGGTTGACGATGTTTCAATAATCACCAAACAATCAAAGTAATTTTTTTTACCCGGCCTCAAGATTATGAATGGAGACAACATCCACCTCGTCCTGCATTGACTTGCTTTAGAACACGCAGAGCGGATGGCAGTATGGTAAGATTAACTGCGTACTTTCCAAGCTGCGTCCGCTTCAGACAGCCATTCTAGAGGTTCGTTGGTCGTTGACGTATGGTAGGTGGATCCACCCGGGAAAATTCAAAAGTTCCACAGAATAGCTAAACCCACACAATCGGTTATAGATTATGAAGTTATTACTCCATTAGGTTCTTGTACCTTTGCTGCTTGTTACTTTGCTCTTGTCATCTGAGCTGCTTGCCATTGTTTACTTGCGAACGACTGCGCGCTAAAATGGAGAGCGTCGGTCGGATGACGCGCAGCAGGGCCAAGGCTCTAGCTGCAACACGTAAGTTTTTATATGCTACATAAACCACATCATGCGTGTATGGCGCTCATTTGAACAGTCCGCGCTTTAACCATGACGTATTGGCACCTACGCAGCTCTGGCTGCATTGCCAGCGAAAACGCCGGAACCAAAGACTACCAGTCGCCGTCGTAAGGGCGCAACCCGAGCTCAGGAGCAGCATGCACAGGAGGCTGCCCCGAAGCAATTGCAATTTCACAAAGATGCGGCGTCTCAGCAGCCTACCATCGACCAGCAACGGGTGAGCTTCAATGCATGTAAACCAAGCGTACTGACATAGCTGATAATGGAAGTTTTGTAGACCGACATGCGTGCTTCCCTTAATAGCGATGCTTACGGAAGTGCGTCCCCGCTTTCTTTCCCGTAGGCATCCACGGAAAGCAGCGAGCAGTTAACGTCGGATGACCCCCAAGCCAGCCAAACTGCCTCTGACATCACTGCGCCGGCGTCGAATCCTGATGATTCCGACACGCAGGCGGAGACGCACGACAATCCTTCTGTGTTGATGGCCTCTCCGATTATCTTGGCGCACAAAGACCAATCTTTGTCATCGAGTATCGAGCCCTTTCCCCTTAACCTTACCGTGACCGCCTCTGCGCCTGAAACCATCGCCTGTGTGTCTTGTACCGCCAATACACAACCTGAGCCCGCAGCCAGCCCGCTGCGCTTCCAGACCCAAACCAATATCGCGATTTCATCGCTACCTGCTGCTGATTCCTTGGACCTCGCGCAACCAGTCGCCGATAGCCCTCTCTCCATCGCCACGGACAGCCCCATGTGCAGCCCACTCCCTTTGGACGCTAGCCTGCTCCCTGCAATGAACAGCCCCCTGCCGGCCGCCTTCAGCCCCCTACCCGCGGTCATGGAGGCCAGTCCCCTGGGCGGCATCCTCCACCATCACCATCCACTCGCACCGTCGCCGCCGCCAGGCACCGTCGCCGCTCCGCCGGAGGGCAGCCCTATGGGCATCACCACACCCCTGAGCTTTACCTCCGATGCCCCGCAGAACGGCGTCATGGCCTTCGTGCAGCCGTTGCCAGCCAGCATCCCTGCTTCACCACTGTCTCTCACGGCGGAAGCTATAGATGAGGCGATTTTTTCGCCACTTCCGGAAGACGGCCCCGGCGACAGCCCCATTAGCCTTTCAGGCGCCGTTGAGCTCTCTTCTCCCCAGCTTATGGCGCCCCTTCAGCCGCAGCTGCTTCATGGTGTCTTGGAAATGGAGGGAATGCATCACGTAGACGACGATGATGCGATGATGGCTGACGCAACGCCTCTGGCGCCTGACCAATTGGGTGCTAATGCTGTTAGCCCACCGACGTTTGCGTCCGACCGGCGCGCAGCTACGCCTGGGACCGGGCCCTCTCCAGCACCGGCTTTCGCTGGCGCTCCGCCTGACAGCGTGCCGCATGCTTCCGCTTCGCCGGCGCCTGTGTTGTCAAGCTTCCAGGGCTTCGCTGCTGTGTTTTCTACTCCAGCAGGTAAAAGATGAGGCTTGAACGCAATCGGTATGCGTGGATGGTTTTGAAGCTGAGCGAGTCCATCCGAGGATTTTGAGTTTTGTCAAGGATTTTGCATGATTAGCATGCCCATAATTTGGGCACCCTTTAACGTGCGTGGCCCTAAATCTTGCGCTCCTGTATGACTGCCTTAGCAGCCTTTATCACGTGTTGTTGAGCAATCCGCGACAATCATCCAGTTAATTGCTCTTTCTAACTTCGCCACGTTTGTCCCTTCCAGGCTCGGAGCTGGAACCCGACTCGCCCTCCCTGGCCGGCCTCATGTCCACTGCCGCGGCTGCAGCGCCCTCCCCTTCTATGTTCTTATTTTCAGCCAGCGCAAGCGACGTTGCTGTCGCCAGCATGCCGACCCCTTCTACATTAATTTTGGACCACGCATCTGCCGAAGCCACCGGCACCGATTCGGCCTGCGCCGCAGCTCCGTCGCCAATCATGACCGTCGACTACACTGGTGCGCTCTCCACCACAGCTGTCATGGTTACCCCAACCCTCGACATCGCTGGTGCCTCTGCCGAGAACGCAACTACCCAATGCACTGCTGCTAACACGACGGTCTCGCCGCAAGAGGGCGTTTGCCTGCCGCCTGCTCCTGCCCCGACGCCGGAGTCAGGGGCACTTCCTGGCTGGACGCTTTCGCAGACACCACTGGCAAACGCCCTGGCTGTGTCGCTGTCCGGGCACTCGGAGGCCAAATGTGTGGATGCAGGGTGCGAAGAGAACGACGACCAGGAGATGGAGGCCGAGGTAGAGACGGACGATGACGACGAGGAGGATGATGATGAGGAAGGTGCGGAGGAGTACGAGGTAGAGGCAGAAGCCGACGATGAGAACCAGCAGCTGCAGGTGCAGGAGCTTACACAACTGCCTATCGGTAGCCCGGTCGAGGATATGGATATGGAAGATCAGCCGCAGATACAGAAAGCTGATACCCCGGCGCCGCCTGCCGCTACCCGGACGGCCACTGCTCAACAGCCGACGCCAGCTGCCGCGGCGCCTGGCGCCAGGACCCCGGCCTTCCAAGGACGAAGTCCCGCCGTAGGACCTGCCTTCCGCACCGGCACTGCGAAGCCCACCCCCATTGACAAGGCTTCTACCAAGGCATCTGTTACGCCCGGTTCACGGCCTGGCTACGTCACCGTCGAGTCGCGGTACCAGAGGACACCCACCACAGGGTCTACTGCTGCTAGGCCTCGGCCCTCCCTCGCCGCTGCAACGTCTACTGCGACGACTACCAACACTGCCGCCGTTGCCAAGTCGGTTAAGCGCGTGTCCATTCACACACCCGAGGGTCTACGGACTGTGGGCGTGCACCGCCATGTCGTGCCGACGCCGTTCCGGCCCAAATCGGCTCAGGTGCTAGCCCCTCCGCAACCTCCGCCGCAAGATCAAGCTTCAAACGGTGCTGCTGTCGCTGATGCGGTCCGGGAGGCTCAGCCAGAGCAGCCGCAGCAGCCATTCAATCCGCAGACGGTGGCTGTAGCAGAAGAGCGTCGCGCTAAGGTATAATCATGTTTGGATTGTGTGTTGGTGTTTCTGAAGACATGTTTGGTGTGAGCGTGCGCTCTGATGCGCTTGCCGTGATGCATAGAGCCATAGGATGTCTAAAACATTAGTACTGTTTTTTGCCTGCATTCATGATTAGGGTCAGTACGAGCTATATTTGTACCATGCCCTCTACCCTAAGATGCCCATCCGCATTTCCCTGTATGTTTCCAGGCAGCTGAGCGCCTCAAGGCTATCCATGCCACAGAGCAGGGCCCGGCTTCTGTTTCAGCCACCGCCGCACGACAGTCTTCGGGTCCCGGCTACCTGGCGCCTACTGCGGCCTTTGCCGTCAAGGCGTCTGCCAAGCCGCTAAAGAGCAAGGTGGAGACGGGTCACTCGGATCCCAGGTGCGCATCGTCCCAGGGTTTGGGTTATGCGTTCCAGCATCATCATGCTAGGCTCGAAGCCAAACCATATTCTCATCTTGCCCCACGCGCTGGTTTTTCAACGATTTCTCATCTTGCTGAATGCACCAGGTCATTGCGGCAGCTGAGACGCGACGTCAAGGAGGCGGTCGCCAAGAAGGAGGCCAAGGTACGACACGTTACCAAGGCTTAGGGTCGATAGGGCCGCTTAGAGGGCATCGACTAATTATGAAAACCTTTTCCGTCCGTCCGCGTTTCCGACCGTCGTCGTAGATGAGCATCCTTCACCAGTCGATGTAAAGCCTTCAAATCTATAGTATCGCGTGACACGTTTCCCTGTTTCCCCCCAGCCCCGCCTTGGTTTAACCCCAGCCCCGCCTTTTCCTCTCAGGCGGCCCTCACCGAGGTGCGCAACACTAAACTTATTTCCAAGGAGCCCGAGCGGCAGTTGCCCATGCCGGACGATGACGAGGGTAGCGACGACCAGGCCGAGTATAACGAGGTGCGTGTTGCCCAACGAACTTTATCACTACATAGTCGGGAGTCGGACATCATCATATGCTCGTCGTGTTTTATGCATTCCATGTACCATACGCGATGCACTACCTGTGCATGCATCCACGACGTTTCTAAATCTTGTCGCTGTGTAAATGCCTAGAAAGCTGACAAGTCTGACAATGGATGCCGCCGTTTGCGTTCCTTGCGTGCAGGGTCAGGAGAACGACCTGGTGGCTGCCATGACGGGATTGGAGGTGGGACCAGTCAAGAACGTAGCACCGGTGGCCTTGCGTGGTGTACCAGCTCCGCAGGTAGGCAGGGAAGCGGAACTTGCGCTCGGCTCGGATTGCACGAGAAAGGCCTCGAGTATATATATCCCTCTGCGTGCGCTTCCCTGCTTGTGGTCGCTTCCCCTCGGTGCAGCCGAGCCTCTGGCCTGAGCTACATCCTGTGTTCCGCCGTTTGCTGTGCAGGGTCGTCATCTCCGTTTCAACGATAAAGGAACGACGTCGGAGAGCCCACAGCGCACTGTCCTCCGCGGATTGCCGGTTGCAGTTGGAAAGTACAAGCGGTTCGATTAAAGCGACCTGGTATAGTACGGCAGGAAGAGCTCAAAATGTGCCACTGAGCGATTGCTAAAGGAGCATGTGACGCATGCGCATGCAAATTGTGGTGGATGGGGGTTTTGATACTTGGCTTGGCAGTGATTTTGCGGCTATTGCGTCACTTGGGGCTGATAGATAAATTGGAGCGGCACTGCATTGTAGGAGGAACTTTGACTTTGATTTTCCTAGTTCGAATTTGAACCTGGCATCGATAGAGTAGTGTTGCAGGAAGCGCGAGGCAAGCGTGTATGATGATTTGTGTTCAGCAGGTGATCACTTAATATACTCAAATGGCAGTTGGATGTTACTCGGCCTTGTTACGTTTTGTAGTGAAGCGCTATTGCAGGTTGACACATTGACGAACCCTAAAACCCTGAGCTGGCGCAGGTGTTGCATATGGGGGGATGTAGTGACAGCATTACAAATTGTGTGCTGTAGACAGGCTTTGAGATGCACGTCAACCGGTGGCTATGACGTAACTCGAATGCCTGGAACACAGCCCCATTGGCTGACTCCTTTCATGTAAATAAAAAATGCACCACGCCGTAGGAAAACGTTGTACTCTTAACCTTGTGTCGTGCGAAGTCAACTAAGGTAGTACCTTTCTCAACTGTTAACGCCTTGTGCGCTGCCCGCTCCCAGCAATCAGGCACAACGTATGTTACTTTATTCAGAACAGGAACACCTATAACATGAAGATGATAGTTCGCGTCGTTCAATATGGTCCATGCTGCTTTTGACACAGCCACAACCGCTGCCTTCTTACCTGCTCGCCAGACGGCAAAATCGACAACGGCACCGGCCAGCAGCTATGGGTCCGCACCCCGCTCAACGTCGCCTACCTAAGCTGCGGCTTCACGGCCAGTCGGCCCAGCTCACGAGGCAAAGTTCCGACCCTCCTGACAGGTGCCGGATTTCGCAAGCCACGTGAACTTTTACAACAACAACACAAATTTACAATAAAGTTTTCCTTCAGATGATATTCCACAATGCTGCTGATGCTTTCCACTAATGGGTCGTCTGCCTTCTTTATTTGTTACATGACGTGACCTTTCCCAATACATCTTCGCACCGTTTACCATGAATAAACGCATTGATGCACACACCATTTCGCCAGAACACACTTCTTTAACTTGTTCGCAAACTAATTTATAAAGGAGTCATCTTATCAGCAAGTCAGTCCACGGTTAGCCTCTCTGCCCTACTCAACGCTCACCACTCAGGAGCTCGCGAACGACTGTGCTTTGCTCACAGTCGCCCAAAAATAAGGGGTAAATGATACAGATCTTCGCAGCAATGATAGCGGCAAATGTGATAATATGAGCTGGAGGAGGAGGGGAGATAGGCGGAGGAAGAGGAGGCAGCGGAGCGGAGCGGAAGACAAGGTAGGAGGGGAAAAGGGCTATAGACCGAATGCCAGCAAATGTAGCGGTAGAAGTTAACACCGCGATGTCAGGAGACACACGCGCATACATATATGTATGCATGTATGTATGTATGTCCTCTGTGTATCCGCCGATCAGTCGCTGGCTGATCCCTCACTGCCGCCGGCTGTGTCGTCGGTTAGGTAGTTGGGATCCAAACGGCCGTACCCGGCGTACCTGTACGGCGAAGACGTAACAATACCATGGCAGGACGGGATGGAGTGAAAATAACCGAATCACGCCATGTACAACATGATACGGCATCATAGCAACCACAAGAAAAGCAATTATTTATCCATAAAGCAATAGCGGCAGTAGCAAAACCGCAGCTCACGCACCGCTCAATCCACTGATCTTGTTCGTACAGGGTGTGCATCACGGACTCGTACGCCCGGTATCCGTGACCCTCGTGCGGCAGTAGCACCAACCGACACGTAGCGCCATGACCCTTGAGGGCCTTATCATCAAGAGTCAAAAAGCGCGGGAAAACAGAGATGAGGATACGTTATTTACCCATTCGGATGCAACAAGTCAATGATCAAAGAGCAAATACTCAGGAAGCCCATTAAGGAAAAAACAAGCGGTAGTACTTTTGCTAATAACCCAAGGCGGAATATTAATAAAATTACGCAGGAAAAGTAGGTGTTGCCACGTGGGGGAGGGTCACAAAAGGGGGGTTAAGAGGAACCCTGATATGGATTGAAGCAGATAGCAAGAGGGGGGATGTTTACGGAGGGGGGGAGGCATTGCTGCGAATGTCTAAACAGTGCGGATGGCCCCCCCCAGTGACAACGCATCGTCGTGAGAAGATAGGCGGAAGGAGTATGTGCGCGAGGAGGAGGACAAGGGGACAGGAAAAGATTCTTCACATAGCAGCTACCGTACGGCACTGTACGACATACCTGATAAAACCGTTCGCTCTGCAGGGGGAAGGTCCCCGGGTTATTGTCGTCCTCCCCGTGAATGAGCAGCAACGGTTTGGAGATCTTGTCGGCCATCCTGAGTGTACGACATAATAGTGTACCGGTGGTTTGTGCTTGTGTGTGTGTGAGTGTGTGTGTGTATAGTTGTGTAAGCAAGCTTTTTTTGGCCCCCCCTTACCTGAAACAACTAATCAGTGTAACTAGCTGATGGACACCTAGCATGTGGTGGTTGAGAGTGCTTTTTTCAAACCGTGTTGGAGGTTAACTTGGCAATGTTCATTTACGGGTTAGCAGTAGTTGCTCGTTAAGAGGACCTTAAGATCCTTCCCCGGCACCTCCCCTCTTTGATATCCTCTCTGATACCCCCCCGCCCCCCCTCAGCCCCCCGCCCCCCCTCAGCCCCCCTCAGCCCCCCAACCCCCCTCAGCCCCCCCCCCCCCCCCCGCCCCCCCGCCCCCGCCCCCACATGAAGGGGGACATCCGCAAGTAGACATCGGGCGCCTGCCACAACGTCCGCTCCTCGCTCTGGAAGCCGAAGGGCGTCAGGGTTCGGTTGTACGCCNCCGTACGGGCAATACCTACGACAGATGATGCCGTACGGTTGGGTGGTTAGTGGTAGTTGGTGGTGTGGTTCCATTCATTCCGTCATAATAGATGCCCAAGTCAGCCGAAGAAAAAACGCATCTCAACAGCAACACCAACACTAATACCACCAAACCAGCTGCCAAACAAACAAACATACATACACACATACGTGCATGCATGCAAAACACTGCGCTGCGGAAACGAATAGCGAAACACACACGCCGATCCCCCCCACCATCACCCCCGACCATACGCACCTGCTGCGAAAAGGTCCGGAGCATGTGCCACGAGGTTGGCCGTCATGAAGGCGCCGTACGAGTGGCCGCCCACCGATACCTTGGCGGGATCCGCCACCCCCCGCCGTACAACCTCCGCCACCGCCGCCCGCGCGCCGTCTGCAGACAGAGAGCGACAAACAGAAACCAGCGACAGGAAGACAATTTGTTGGTTTGCTCAGATCACAGACAGACAGACAGACAGACGGATAGACAGACGGGCAGACGAACAAGGTGTCGAAACCATATCAAATAACACCTGTAGTAGCTGGCCCCGCTGAAAAGGTCTCTCGAGTTGCTGGTGGTCGCGCTCTGCGCGTATTTATAGCACCGTACTGTGTACCGGCTGCTACAACACGTCAATACGTCGAAAGCAAGGCAGCCGCAGGGGCTTTTCCCCAGCCGACACCGACACCTGGACCACCCGTGTTGCCCACCACGTGTGTTTTCAAACTCCGACAGCTGTCCACTCGGGGGACCAACACACGTACAATGGCAATACGCGTGTTGCTGCACACATAGCTTGACATGAATACAGAGGTGTGTATATGTATGTATGTATTTCTGTGTGTGTGTATATGTGTGTTACATGGTTGGGGGGTGCGTGACCCCATACCTGTAAAACTACCCATACGAGCCGAAGGCCCAAGAGCATAATTATGTATGTATGTGTGTGTATGTGTGTGTGTATGTGGCATCTTCAAACTCTATTCAAGATCTAGCGGTGTCCAACCTGTCAGCTGCTCCACAAAGGTGTCATTGGGTTCCGGAGCCTTGGAGCCCTCCGCTGGCCCGCCTTGATGACTGGTTTCGGAGCCCTCCTAGACGGGCGTGAGAGGGGGAGATTGGAGAGGGGTTAGTCCGTTTGTCGGTTGATCCGTTAGGAGTTACGTGCCTGCATGTGTAGCAACGGTTAAACCCTAAGTTCCAATACACTGAACACATACAGACATACACCGTGGAGGGCCCCCCTCGGGCTTTTACGGACGGGCTTCTCCCCCCCCCCATTTGTGACCGGAGCTTGTAACCCCTTAGACTGTTTTTTTAACTAAAACTACCTTAAGAATTTTAGGCTCGGCCTAACCTTTATTAAACTACATAAACTATATTAAAACAACCATACGGCCCTTAGTTCAGAGAAACTAAGTCTAGTTAGTCTAAACTACGTTTGTAACATATATACATACATACACACAATCACACGCGCTCATCCCACCTGCACATCCGCCACAATGGGGAGCGTGGGTCCGTCCAGTACGGCATACCCGCGAGTGAGCCACAACGTGGGGGAGGTAGATCCGATGGACGAGAATTGGTGGGGTGAGCGCCGCATCTGACCCGCCGCCTCCTGCAGTCGTACACCGCCGTACACCGTGTATTCTGACGTACACGAGTGGCTGTCATGGGGTTATGTAGTTTCTTTTTCCAACGACGGGCATTGTACGACAGGCCCCCCGGGGACCAAAACGGGGCGGCTGTTGAACAGCTCAGGAAAGTGCTGGGGGGATGGATTGGATTGGATAGCAGGCAAGGACAGTACGGACGAAGCCCTTGCCCGGTACGGCATGTGTCGTACCTTGGTTTTGTACTCACGGGGGTAGGCCCAAACGATGCACGGCAATGGCCCGTGGGTCGGTTGGTCGTACCCGGGTGGCAGGTAGAGGGTGGCGGTGAGCATCACACCGTCGGCACGGGGGTATCGGAGTACCTCACGTCGCAGCTCTCGAAGCTACACTTCCCCCCCCCGGGGGGGAAAGTGTGTGTATGTGTGTGTGGGTGGGGGGTAAGACAAACCACAGACGTGTGTATATGTGTGTAGGGGGGGGGAGAGAAATGGGAGGAAGGGGAGCAGAGGGGTTTCAAATACACGAAGACGACGAAGCGGGGGGTCGAATGCCGACTCTGCCCAAGCTGCCCAAGCTGGGGAAGGAAGGGAGAACGTGAACAGGGTGAGAATCTGACCAGCTCATGTTGAGGGGTGGATGCAATGTGTATGTATGTATGTACGTATGTACGAATGTATGTATGAACGTATGTATGAACGTATGTATGAACGTATGTATGAACGTATATGCATGTATATATGTGGGGTTTAAGCTGAGATAAAGGTGGGGGTAACTTTCCCACTCCAATAAAAAACATAAAACCACGTGGTAGGCTCGTCCAAAGGGTGTCATATGCCGTACCTGCGGGTACGGATGAGGGAAGTTCGTAACCTGTCGCTCGTCCCTCCGTCGGCCCGCATCCCGGAACGCGACCAAGAAGGATTGCGGCGGGTCGGAGGCAGTCTCGCGACTTAACATCAGCGACATGCCCTGCGTCGTAGTACGACAATGTACGGCGTATGTACAATCTAGGTTGTATGACACGGGCAGAACGTGCCGGCATATGTACGGCACGGTGGGGCGGGGCAGGGTGAGGTCCTAAGACACACAACACACGCTCGCACGAAGGTGACCCTCCGGCTAACGAACAAACTCTAAGCAAAATAATATCTCATAAAAATGTACGACGTGCGGTACAGTCAAGTCTCCACAACCGCTGCCCCCTCTTTCCCCCCTCAACCCCTACTACCCAACTCTCTCCCCCCCCACCCCCCCCACCCACACCTCCGGCCGGAACACCACTCCCCTCTCCCCTTCAACCCCCCAACCCCACCCCCCTGCAGCACTCTTTCCTTGGCATCAGCTGCACCCGCTGTGGTTCGTCTTTTCCCGCCAAATCCACCCCCTGCCCCCCCCCCTACTCCTTCCCCCTCACCCCCGCCCACCTCAACCGTCAACGGCGCCTCCGGATCCGTGTCGCTCATCAACGACCCCGTCACTTCGTAGTGAGGTGGACTGCTCTGCCATAACCGGTGAGTTTCCCCTGCGCGTCGGAGGGCGGGGAAAAACACACACACGCATACACACACACACGCATACACACACATACACACACAAACATACACCCACCCAAGAAGTCAATACACGCATGCACACACATACGGAGAGTTCGCACGGTGTGTCGTACATAGCGTACGACAGATAACCAGGATTTAATCCCGAGGGTAAAACACCGGGGGCCAAGGCACATGTGCGTGCATGTGCGTTATGTGTACGGATGTGTAACATTCATTCACCATGTAATCATGCCGTGCCTCCCCCACCTTTCCCGGGGGGGGGGGAAATATGACTTCCTACCCCTTCTCGGGGGGTGGGACTCCCCCACTTAAGGAAGCAAGTACGACGACCCTGATAGCAACTTTGTTACTTGGGTTGGAATAAATTGAGACCCGCCCTAAACGAAAAAAAAATCCCCGGGTGGGAGGGGGAAATCTCTCACCGCTCTCCAGCTGCATCAGGTCCAGGAAGGGCTTGTTTCCCTCCGGGCTCGCGCCACTGCCCGACATGAGCACCCAGGTGCCCTCCCCGGAGCATAACCCGCCACCCGCCACACCGACACCCTGCTGCCGTACAGCGGTGGAAGGAGTGGTGCTTGCGGCGGAAGCTGGTGTGTCGGTGTTGGCGTCGGCAGTCGCCGCCCCCGAAC